CATGGTCTAGTAAAACCCTCTGACTTGTGCTATACTCTAACCAAACTGGAGCATTTGTTTAGGGATCACTTCTAATTTTCTTCACCCCTGCCTTTATTTTAGACTCTATGGCCGTGTTATTTTCCTTCTCTCATTATCTCTGACTTTCAAAACCTTAAGTCTTACTTAAGGTTGTTCACAAACAAGGTATAACACATTTTGTTGTCTCGTTCTCCTACACCCTCCTTTTCTGCATACTTTTCCCTTTCCTGATCATTTAAAAAAAAAAAATCGCTTCCAGTATTGAACACCTGGTAATTTTGTTTGCATTTCTAATATGTATGCTCTTCTATTTGCATATTATGTTACATTATTGTTTTCTTTAGTTGCCCTTGAAAATTGCGAGCTATTTACAGATAAATATTTCATCTTGCTCATTTTTGAATTCTTACTCTGTGGTTTTGCATATAGAAGACAGTCAAATTTACAAATTTCTAAATTAAATTAATTGGGGAATGCAGAAAAAAAAAAGACATTATGTTTTGCCTAGGTGATTTATAATTGAAATACTGTATTTTGCCAAATTTATCACTATAAAATTAGAGTATGGCTTGAAACAATATGTATTTCACTAAGAATGTTAATGATTAGGACTGAATTGAACCTGCAGACTAATGTAATACACTTTATGAGGGTCCAATGATAATTCTAGAAAACACTCAGAAACCTTGCCTGTGCATAACTTTTAAGAAAAAAATGAATTCTATGTTAGTTATAATAGGGCATTACAATAACTAATGGATAGACTTAGAACATGTGTTCTAGAAGTGTGAGTCCCTAGACAGAAATAATATTTGCTAGTCTATATTATAGGAGGTCTTGTTAGCAGTGGCCCCATTGGGACAATATTACATCAATGAGAAATACATATTCACCTTCACCTCCTTTTAAATAAAGTGGCAAAAGTACACGGAGTATTGCAAACTGTAGAAGAATATATTCCTCACAGCATCTTGGTATAACCTCAAGTTATTCATGTAGAACTTCTGAAGTAAAAAAAAAAAATGGGATAATTTCCAACTCCCATGTGTCAACATTGCAACTGAGTAATGACTCATGTAAGTTTTAATACTTCTGCCACTTCAAATAGTTCTCTGTAGATTAACTATTTTAATATCATTTTTCTTTTATTACTTTCATTTCCACAAATGAGATTGAATTTGTCTCTCCTTGTTTGAACTCTCAATGTCCTGAGATGAGTTCATTTTCTGTATGTTACTGAACTTCAGGCGCTTTTCTGCAGACTCATTCACTATTGTCTCAAAGCTTATTCCTACAGTTATATCGTACATAATGTGGTACCGCAGTGGATAGCCAATATATTTCCTCAAATTCATATGGGCATCTTGTAATGATCTCCAAGCAAATAATTATGCCAACATTCTATTTTAAAATGCTTAGCATACAGTTTCTACAATAAAAATTTCAGTTTTGTCTCTTGTTTGTTTGTTTCAAGTATGGGCAAAAGACATAGACAAGCAGTATTGGAGCAAAAAGTACACATGTCCAATTCATGAATAAGTGACCATAATTTAATGATTGTGAAATGAATTGAAGCATCAATAAGATGCAATTTCATGTAAATAAGTAAATAAGCAAGTAAGTGAAGAAAAGAACTGTAATGCACCTTTTGTCACGAAAAGGTGAGGCAAAGAATGGGCATTCTCAGGCATCATTTTAGTGAGGTAAGTTTTGCTTTGATTATTTAAAATTTCTGAAATATGTAATTATAATAGTGTATTCTAAATAATTATTTAAACCATAAAATTTTAGCTCAATAAAAGCAAGATTATTAAATGCTAATAATAGAGAAAATTGAAAACATCCATTAAATAAAATACTACAATATATAAAGTTGGTATGCAGTTACTGTTTTGGCATGAAGATTATTATATATTGTTGAGTGTTATGTTAGAAAATAATATATATGTATAAACACTGATGTATACACATATATGTATACAATAATAAACAGCTTTTAATCTTAAATATTTTATCACATTGTTGTTTTGAATTTTTAATCTCATATAATTGAATTAACTTTTATTGAGGTAACATTGGTGTGCAATGTTGTTTGTGTTTTAGAGGTACAGGATCTCTCCCTTCCGATGTACAATAACATTAACACCAACCGCCAAAATACCCAGAGTCCATTGTGCTGCCTCCCACTTTGTCCTTTCTTCTCCCCTCTTGTAGCTCAGTTCTACAGTCTTATTTTTAGGGTTTGACTTTATTTGACCCTTTTTTTGTTTCTCTATAGTCTACATGTGTGACACCATCCTGTATTTGTCCTTCTTTAACTTATTTCACTTAACATAATCCTCTCCATTTCCATTCATGTTGTTGCAAATGGCAATAATTATTTTTTTTAGCTGAGTAGTTGTCCACAATGTATATATACTGCGATGCACATACACTATGATGTGTACACACACACACATATACACACAATGTATATATCTTGATCCACTCATCTGCTTCTGGGCACTTAAGTTGTTTCTATTGCTTGGTTATTGTAAATAGTGCTACCATGAACACAGGAGATCATATATTACTTCCAATTAGTGTTTTTTTAATTCTTTGGGTAGATACCCAGGAGTGGAATTGCTGGGACCAGGAGGTGATACCCAAGATCTACAAAGAGTTCATATAACTTAACAAAAAGAAAACAACCCATTTTTTTGATTATATACTCAGCTAGTATATAAGTGTACAAAGAATGCACTTATCATATTCTCTCACCCATATATAATCACTATTAACACTTTGGGGGTAAATCTTTAAAAGCTTTTCTCATATTTAGCAGTAACACGAGATTACCACACAGGTGATTTAGGACCCATATCTTAGTTTTACTTTAATTCCAGGTAAAGAAGCAGGCTTGAACACTTAATACTACTTTATCTGACTTCATTAATTGTCTAGAAAAAGGGACATGATGACCCTAAAGGGAAGAAGTTTAAGGGGAGAAAGCCACTAATTGGTGAATAAAGTAGAGATAGAGAAACTAAAGACAGATTTTCCATCTTAATATACTCAAGATGTGGGAAAGCATCTTTGTTCACTGCAAAGGCTCTTATCTTACAGAAATGGAGTACTATGTGCAATTAGATAACTATGTATACCTATCCAAGACAGGCTTTTTGGAAATACTACTCCAGGAAAAGAGCCACTTATTATTCTTGGTAATAGAATCCAAAGTAGGACACGCATACCCAAGGAGGTAAGCTGCTTGAATGTGAGAAAAATATGCTTGTGTGTGTGTGTTCTTTACATTTATGAAATATAACTTCTTGATTTTCAAGTGTATTTTCTATTGCATGTAATATGTTAGAGTAGCAGTAGATGTATGTAATTCACAGGTAAATTAATATACAGTTAATGTATAATATAATATACAGAAAGTCATAATCTTTCTGATGTTAGAGGAATATGATGAAAACAATTTGGACACCACTTTTCTAAAGGTAAGGTTTCTTATGTTGCTAAAGTCAGGTATTCTTTATTATGCATCTTGTTTAGTTTCTTCACAACCGTCTACAATAAATGAATCTTCATACTGACTTTAAACTTTAGAATTTTTCAAAAACGCCTCCCCGGTGGCGCAGCGGTTGAGCGCTGGGTTGCGAAGCTGCCCGCAGCCTCTGCAGCGCCGGTTCGATCCCCGGCTGCTCCCCGGCCACCGGAGGAGGGTCCCACATGGCGTGCAGACCTCTCCTGCCGCCCGCTGCTCCCCTCAGCAGTGTACTTCGGTCCTTCTGCCTGCTCTGCTTCCCGCTCTGGCTCTGGTGAATTCTCTCACCCTCCCGCGCTTCTGACTGTACCCAGTGCTTGTATAAATAAATAAAATAAATAAATTAATTAAAAAAAAAAAAAGTACTCTTAAAAAAAAAAAAAAAAAGAATTTTTCAAAAACTGTAAAATAGCCAGAAAATGAGTGCTTCTTAAGAGGTAAGAATTTTTTTGGAGTTTTCTCCAAAATATACAAGGATAATTAGCCAATCAAATAAGAGCAGTTCTTTTTTAGCTGATCTACAACTAAAATTATAATTTTTATATATTTGTATCAACAAATATTGTTGAACACCCTGTATGAACACTGTATTGTGAAAAAAATCAAAGAATAGAATATGAATTCTTTCTTCAGATTCATAAAGTGTCTCATAAATTGACAATATGTGCAAATATGGTGTCCTTTTTATATTTTGATTGATGATCACATAGTAAATTCACATAAATTCAGAGTCACTGGGTGAAGAAGACTTATCATACATTTATAAAGAGTCTAAATTAGGAACCAACTTCAATGTGATAAATATTTACATGCTTAAATATAGATACCAAAAAAGTACATGTCTTAAGTAGGATGGATGTACAATTTGATATTTTATGTGTATGTTAATTTATACATTCAAATATTTCTATCATAAGTGGAACAAAGACATACTAGCTAACATCTACTGAATACTATGGACCAGGTACTGTTCTAAGTATTTCATCTGATCTTACTTTTTTAATCCTAACAACAATTCTGTGAGCCATGTTCTATTATTTCCCCCAATATGCAGATGCAAAAACTGAAACACTGGTCATATTAACTCAGAGTTAAGAGATAGCATTTGAAACCTGCCAGCATGTTTCGATGGTTTAACTTTTGTTTTTATCATGAATTTATAAATTGTTGAGGTGAATGTAAACTTGTTTCTTTAGGACATAAACTTGTTTCCTTCCATCACACTGAGATACAAGAATGAAAGTCAAGGTTATACAGTCATTACAAACTAAGTGACTTCGTGTAATACATGCATTTTGTGCGCCAATGAGCAACTAACTTACATGACTCTATTGAGTGGAATTTGATACCAGGCTTGACTTTGCTCATTGATTCTCACAGCCTGATGATATAATTTCCATTTCCCTTTACAGCAACATTTCTGGCCTGATGTCAGAAACTTGAAATCATGGACCGAGGCAACACATCACGAGTGACTGAATTTGTTTTGCACAGTCTTTCGGGTCCTCGAGAGCTACAGCTTTTCTATTTTGTCTTTTTTACGATTTTCTATATGTCCATTGTGCTGGGGAACCTCCTCATTGTGCTCACAGTCATCTTTGAACCTGCATTACACACGCCCATGTACTTCCTACTCAGTAACCTCTCCTTCATTGATGTTTGTTTATCCACCTTCGCCACCCCTAAAATGATTGTTGATTTCCTTATGGAACACAAGACCATCTCTTTTGAGGGATGCATGGCCCAGATATTCTTTCTGCATGTCTTTGCTGGTGGTGAAATGATGCTCCTTGTGGCCATGGCCTATGATAGATATGTAGCCATATGCCGACCCTTGCACTATGCAGCCATCATGAATGTGCGCAAGTGTGCAAGCCTGGTGCTTGGCTCCTGGGTCATTGGAATTCTGCACTCAATCAGCCAATTGGCCTTCACAGTAAACCTTCCATTCTGTGGCCCTAATAAAGTGGATAGTTTTTTCTGCGACCTTCCCCTGGTTATCAAGCTCGCCTGCACGGATACCTTCACTCTTGAGGTAATGATGCTTTCAGACAGTGGTCTAATGGCCATGAGCTCCTTTGTGCTCCTGTTGATTTCCTACACAGTCATCCTAGTCACTGTGCGACGGCGGTCCTCCGCGGGCATGGCCAAGGCCAGGGCCACGCTGACAGCCCACATCACTGTGGTGACCCTGTTCTTTGGACCTTGCATCTTCATTTATGCCTGGCCATTTAGTGACTTCCCAGTGGATAAAGTTCTCTCAATATTTTATACTGTATTCACTCCTCTGTTAAACCCCATGATCTACACCTTGAGAAATAAGGAGGTAATATCAGCAATGCAAAAACTAAGGAGTCGACAAGTGAGTTCCTGATGATCACCCACTTCTCCCTCGTAAAAAGTAACACCCTATAATGAAACTTGTATAAACCTAATAGTCTATTCGAAATGTATAAAGTGAAGAATTTATAAGGGAAGAAATTGGGAAATCCCACAACCATATCAGAGGTTTCAATAAGGCATCACACAGTAAAATTTGCTAATTTTATGGAATCAAATACAATAAGCTGGATCTAATGAACATGTGGGGAAAGCTGTTGCATAATTATCTTAGATATTTTACAGTTTATTTCCCATAAATGGGTATACTTCTGATTAAACAGTTAATCTGAGTTTTATGTACTAGAAAAACTATTAATAGTTTTTTTTTTGCCACTGCTAAAAACAGGCATTTCACAGAAGAAACATAAATGTATAATAAACTTTTGAGATGAATTAGATTTCCCTAATAGCCAGGGAAAGACCAATAATAACCATAATTGTATACCTTTGACAATGTACTTAGTTGATGAGCAGTAAACCACCAATTGTGCCGGTAGGGGAGTTGGTGATGAAGAACTGGTGGGTGTGTGTTCAGAGGGAATCTAGATGCTGTCAAGGGCAGGGATCTTTCAGAGAGGAGACCCAGGTTTCTGTTTGGAAAGAACTGTGTGGACAGGTTATCACTGAACTGTGACGGAAAGATCTCAGAGGCACTGTTTCTTGGGTTATTTTATGTGCTTTGCATGATGAACAAAGTATTTTTCCTTTAAATATTTCTCCTTTGAAATGAAAATGTTGCTAACCTATCTCAGAGCAAGGAACTGCAGGCATATTGCAGAAAGAAGAGGCTCTCACAAGTTGAAGCATGGTTTGGGGTCAACTGTATGTGTGTGAGGACATCCAGGGGTACCTGCCCAGATATATTTAATATTTAATATATGAAATACTATTTAATAATATGTTAAATTAATAATAATGTACTAAATATAATATAATAATTATATATTGTAATGTTATATATTATAAATTATAATGTTATATAATATATAATATTATGATATATTTATTATATAAATATAATATTAAATTGTAATGATGCATTAAATTATATATTAACAATGTATTATTTAATATTTAACATATTATATATTAAATATTAATACATTAAATTATATATTAATAACATATTCAATACTTAATGATTATTAAATTATATAATGTTTTCTATATAATTTATTTTATATTGATATAATTGTTATAATATATTATTAAATAATATTTAATATATCTGGGGCAGGTACCCCTGGATGTCCTCACACACATACAGTTGACCCCAAACCATGCCTGAACTTTCTGCAATATACCTGCAGTTCCTTCCTCTGAGATTGCTTAGTAACATTCTCATTTCAACCAGAAATATTTAAAGGAAAAATACTTTGTTAATCATGCAAAGCATATAAAAGGGTACGATCAGCACTGAGAAGCAAATTGAAAACTGAAAATGAGTGCAAATGTATTAAACCATTTTGTTGGATAATTTGGATATAACTGGTGTGTTGAAGATTTGTATTCTTTACATCTTAGCAATTACTCTCCTAGATATACATTTCCTCAGACTATCTGCTAGAATCTCTAGCACATATTTATTCATAGATGTTTATTTTAATGCTGCTCACAGTATGAAGGGTTGGAAACAAACTTTTAGGTGTCTTTCATGAAAATTGGGCCAATGAGCAATTTATATAATGGAAAAAGTATTGCATTAAAATAAATGAACAAAAAGTACGTACATCACTATTTCTTTTTTTTCAAAGGATGGGAAAATTTATTGCTGCCGGAGGGGTCTTCACAGACCCAAGGTGGGGGTCAGTGAAGCTGCTATGTGCATCACTATTAATAACTGTCCCAACCAAATTATTCAGTACAAAAAATAGCAAGTTGTAAAGGAATTAATATAAGTATGAAAATGCAGGTGCAAACTACACATTTTTTTTGTGGATATACCCCATTGTCATACAACTATATTGAAAATCATGAAAATGTTAAATACAAATGCAGGTTATAAGTTAATTCCAGAAAACTGGTTTTTGCTGGCTTTTTTTGGTTAATACTATTTAAAATTACATTTGGCAGTGTTTTTAATGTAGTGATTTATGACCATATTTGCCATTCTGCATATTTTTCCTTTTGTATTTCCCCCACCACCATTTCTTATACTACCTTGACACTTTTTTCCTTGACATTCCTCTTAACCTCAGAAATATCACTTCATTTATAAGTATTTTGCTTTCTTGAGTCATCCTAATATCTGTCTTTGCCATTCTGATTTGGCTTAGTACACATAATTCCCTAAGCTCCTTCCATTTTCTGCATGTGGCAATATTTTGTCTTTCTTTATGACTAAATAGTATTCCATACTATAGATATACCATATCTTCTTGATCCAATCCTTTATCAGTGGGTAGTTTGTACTGTTATATAAGATCTTCCAACTATAATATTATAGGCAAGGAAAAAAAAATCTTTTCGCCCTCAATCCATCTGAGGTTTTTTGACAGGTCCCTGTAAATTATTTTATTAATTTAATTTAATTAATTAAATTAAATACAACTAACAAGACAGAATAACAAGAGAAAAACAAACAGAAATTTATTAACATGTACATTGCATGTACACATGGATGGGGACACTCAGAAATATGTAATTCAAAGGGATGGTTAGGACTTGGGCTTATGTAGCATCTTAAATGAGTGATAAAACAATGGATTAGGATTTTGTGTTTCCAGGGCAGCAAATTATGCAAATGCAATTATTCAAGGAAACTAATGAAAGATAAAGGTACTAGTCTTTTAAGCAGTTTATTGCATATATTCTTTTGTTGCCCTTGCTGGGCTGATAAGGATTTAGAATAGCCTTAGGTGATTAACTTTTTTTCTTCCTGGTACAGAGGGACCAGGAACATCTTTACAAATTTTTGTTCTACTTTTAAGCAAATGGAGGGAGTGCAGAGGGTTTTTTTTGTTTTGTTTTGTTTTTGTTTTGTATCTGCTTCTCTTTAGTACCCTTCATCTCAAAATGATCCTATGCCAAAGTAGCATATTTTGGGATGGCATATTCTGCTACATTTCATGTTGTATTTCTAATAAAGGAAATATGGCAAACATTAACATTTGTTAAGTTGAACCTTGTATGCAAAGATATTTATGTAATTGTTGTTTTTATTTTTAGGGTACTTGAAGTATTAAAATCATTTTACACAAGGGTAAACTGATGCCTAGAAGGATGAATCATTTGTTCAGTAGTTTTTTCTTAGTTGTTGGTAGAATTGAGAAAGATAACCCATGCCTTTTAAGCTATAATTAGTTACCTTTTCCTCTATACCACAATGTGCTCCAGTAGCAAGGACACTGTATGTCCCTCCTTTCCTAAGTCAAAGCATTTCTCTTTTAGGAAAAAAGAATGAACTTCTCCACAACTTTTCCCTAGAGTGGTAGGCTCAATTGTGTAGAATTCACAACAGATAGTTTACTCCACATACTGTCCAAGGGTTGAATGACCCTCCCTTTTTCTCCTATGAGTCCAAAGGTCCTCATTGTAATCGTCAGCAATGTGGGATGACATTTACTTTGTTCTAATGGGAATGTGTAGTGGAGGGTATTAATAATCCCCTTTGGAAGATGAACCTTGGCTATCTATTCTAAATCTCTAAGTTTCAATTGATCACATACATAAAACCGTGATATTACTCCAAGTTGACAAGAGGAAAAATGCATCTATAAATATCACTACATGGATGAGATTAATTCCACGATAGAAAACTGAATAATTCAATTTACATCTGCTATGCATTTTATCAGGTAGGTAATATCTGACAAAGATATACATTAAAAATGATTATGTCCAGTTACATATTCAATTATTACATTGCATATTACAGAGGACCCATAAATGAAAGCAAGCCATATTAGAAGAGACAATGTTAAGTTGAAGATGTTTGTGTGTCTTAGAATGATTGGGAGGGCAAAGTATTCATAGGGAGATTATAAAAAACCTCTAATCATAGTTAGAAAAATCCATATGACACTTTCATCTACAACCTAAAGAAATTAAATAAACATAGGCCTTAAGGCTATATCTTTCTTTATAGATACAGTCCTATTTAGTAAAGCTATTTTTCAGAAATCATGGGACTATTAAAAACCATGCTTAGGTTGTAAGTTTTTAACTGTAGTATCTTTGCATTAATGATCTATTTTACTTGCTTTCACTTTAAATGGATCAGACAGGACTTACTTAATGCTAGAGAAGAGTGAAAATTTCTTCTGTATTAAGAATCTCATTATTTCTGTCACTTTTTAAAAACTTGGTCAACAAAATACCACTTTTTGAAAATTTGGTAAACAAAATAATTTTCCGTTGCAATTCAGAAGGATTATTGTATGTCCTTTTCTTTTACTGGTTTTATTATTGGCACTAGTTTTAATTAATTTAGTATAATATTGTATTACCAATGAGATGAAACATTTTGTTCCATGTGAGATGAAGTTTATGAAGTGTATGAGGTGATTCATAGTCACAAAATTTAAGGTCATTCACTGGAAATGCACAGAAAGTTTGGAAGGTAGAAATGCTGAGTAAATGACAGCTATAAGGTGAACTATATTTCAACTTGCACTGAAGTGTATTTATGGAGAATCTATTTGATGTACATCTTTATGCCAAATCTGTTGATGACACATAAGAAGCATGAGAATTTAAGGATCTTTCAGTGTGGCAGGGAAACGACAACTACACAAAGTTTGCCTTGGGAGAGTATATGTGCAAGCAAAGTGGTACAGAAAACTATGAAAAAGAGAAATTTCAATTTATGCCTTTGGGAAGAAAGCTCAGAGAAGGCACTACAAGTGCAGGCCAGAAGAAAATGAATTGGAAGTGTTTCACTGCTTAATACATGTTAAATAGTCTACTTTCTTCTAAGGAGTTGTATATGGTGTGGGTAAAACCAGATCATATGTGTTTGGTGGTCATGCTGAGAACTTAAATTTATTTTACTTTGAGTTAAAGTAAACATGAGATTTTGCAAGTGGGAGGGTAACGTCCAGGAAAAAGTGAGGTCTACAGCCTAGAAGAATAATAGTCACAGCTAAAAATAAACATTTAAAGGAAAAAGGACTGAATTGAGGTAAGAAATTATAAACTGAGATCTGAAGTGACTTTATAATATGCACATCCCTAAAATGATTAGAAACATGTTTGCAATACTGGAGTGTCATGAGAAATTAGAGGTCATCACTCAAGTGGTAATGGATACCACAGAGATGAATGGAATGCCCAAGGAAGAAAGGGAACATGGCGGGAGAGGAAGAGAGATTAATAGGATATGAAGTAAGAGATAAAAGAAAGATAGAAAATGTGGATATGGAGAAGGAAGAAAAATGAAAAACCTAAAGACCAGGTCCTTAGCGAAAACCTACTTGTAAGGGCCAGTGCATAGATTTGCTTCTTAAGAGTATTACAGTATTAGTTTTCATAAGAGGACTTTGAAGATATTTGATAACAAGCTTCTCTGACAGTGGCAGCAAAAGACATAATTGAGTGTGGTGTGAAGGTCTTAGTAGGTGGAAAAGAAATAGAGGGGAAAATGTAGATATCCTTCAGGAAATTTTTTGTAATAAAGGAGGAGATATTGAGGAAAGAAAAGAGGGTAGAAGAATTTAGGACTTTTTGTTGTTTTTGCCTTTTGCTTGGATGAGCCAGACCCCATCACTTTGTCAGTAAATGAAACCACTTAGTCAATAAATGAAAATGCTACATGAAAGAAGGAGAGACTTACATGTAAGCCAAAAATGCCTTCTAAGGATTGAGGTAATTTTGCCCCCAACTACTGACCATGTGGAAAATCTACATGGGTTTTGGGTTTCATATTATTCAGGTCTAAAAAGTATGATGTCATATCTATGCATGTTGATTTTGAATGATGCAAACTGAATCTTATATTACATAACCTTGTATAAAGCAATGTTACTTTAATTTTTAAAAGGCAGTATCATGTAGCTTGAGACAGCTTCTCCTGGAGTGTAAGGTCTCAGTTCATATTCTAGCTCATTGATTCTAGCTACTTGGGAAGTCACTTATCGTCTCTGTAACTCTGATTTTTTCTTGTGAAATAGAATTAATAAGTGTTTGTCACACAGTATTTTGGGAAGATAAAATTATTATACATAGAGTTTAAATGGTGTCTGGAACTTTGCTGGTCTGATTTTAAACCTCTACAAAGATTTCCTTACCCTTAATAGCTGTTTATCTAGAGATTACTAAACTTGTCTGATTCTGACTTTTCTGCAGGTCAGGAATAATAACACTTTCCCATAAATTTCCTGTAAGGATCACTGCTACAATGCATACACAAACAGTTAACTCAATGGAAACTAACTTGCAGTGTCTTAACAATACACGCTTTCTTTTCCATACTTTTTCAGATTTTAAATTATTATTCAGTATTTATTAGAAATTTACCTCATTCTTTTAGCTTATATACATTATTCGTGCTACAAACATTTTCATTAAGTAGTGTTCATCTGGTTACATAATAAATTCCTAAACTTGAGCAAGGATAATGATTTTAGAAATGGGGACACTCAAAAAAGTGAACCACCTACTGGACAAGGTAATAAAATAATTTACGGAATATTTCAGAATCCTCTCAATTATTGTGCTGTCATTTTGTTACATATACTATATATTCATTGGTGATTCACTCATTGATTCATATTGCTAAGGCATTCACTTCTTTGTTATGGATCGTCTTAATTTTTTGCTCTAGCTTCAAAGACCACAATAATGTATGTTCAAAGTGTGAGCCAGTAAAATGCCTCCCTGCAAGAGTGCACAAAACAGTGCTCTGCTGAGGGCTTCCCCATGTTGACTGCAATTGCATCCATCTAAAGGAGAGGTTGTGTTGGCTAAAGGATATAAAGTTTCCCATTTGCAGGATGAATAAATTCTGGAGATCTCATGGACAGCTTGGTGACTACTCTTAATAATAATGTATACTTGGAATTTGTTGAGAGAGTAGATTGTAATTGTTTTCACTAAAAAAAAAGGTAACCATTAGCAGTGATGGATATATTAACTGTGGCAATCATTTCGCAATATTTATATATCAAAATGTTACATTGCTCGCCTTAAATATGTACATTTTTTACTAGACAATTATACCTCAAAAAAGCTGAGGAAGGAAATGAGAGAGTAGGGTTATATCTTAGGGACATAGAAATCTGGCTTATTGTATGAAATAGACAGTGGAAGATGTTTATGCTCTTATGTGGGATTAGAACACAGGTTCCTTATGATCTCATTTTTTTTCTTGCAAAGATACAGCTCTAGTATATAAATCTAATTCCACACAACTAGAAAAAGTTTCAGAAAGTACTATTTTAGGAAATCTTGTTATTTCTGACAATTAACTCTTCTATTCTTTGAATGATTATTAAGATGTTATTATTAGCTTATTATATAAGTTCATGGAGAACATTAAACTGGGAAAACAAAAGTTGACCTAAATCTAATTTTGATAGTCAATAAAAATGGAAAATTTAGGCACTGGTCTTAATAATCACAAATGAGTTTCAGATAATTAACATAAAGCTATAATGTAATTTAAAATAATTATACAGATGAATAATTGGTAAACTGCTACTACAGGTCTGGGTAATATACATTCAACAGTAGCTCCTTGGTAGAAACTGAGTAAGTTGTGTATGATTCCTGTAATAGCAACAAGGCTTTGTCAATATGGGAATATTTACTATATTAAGGACATTTATTGTATTATAATTACTCTGATAGAAGAATGTCATGAATTGTCATATTTGAACTTTAAAACCTCCTGCAAAGTAGGTTTTTTTTAACCACTACCTATCTTTTTTGAGCTATAGAATTTGTAAAATTCAGAAAAAATAGTAACTTTATATCATGTGATAAATATCAAGCTATGAAAATATCTGGAATTAGAGAAAATGTTGTACTTAAGAGATTTCTTAAAATTAATGATGGAAAATAAACACAAGACCAAGAGATCCAAAATATTTTTGCCAACCAACAAAGTCTGTGGAGCCAGATAGTCTGCTAGTCTTGTGATCATAACAATACAACCCATGTGTGAGCTTGCTGAATGCTGTATAACAGATTTTTCTTAGGACTATCCAAAACTCAAGGGCTTTAAATGATACTGATAAATTAGACTTTCTTGTAAACTTCTTACTCTCCAGATATAGTACTATGGTCTCTTCAAAATTTGTTTTTCTTAGTAAATAGACATTATATCTGGGATTTCAATAATCCTTTACACTAAAGGTGCTCTTTTTTTGACATTCATTACTTTTTAAAAACACTTTTATTTTCTTACATTGTTGTTCATTTTTGTACAATATTTGATTTCTTCCCTCAGGTGTAGTCCCCATAAATATCCCACCACCTCAGCACCTGTGAACCATCACCACAGATCCATGTGCTCTTCCCTCCTCTGTTTTGACCCCTCACACCCCCCCTCCCCTGCTGGATGCCTCAGATCTATAATTTGCCTGCAAGTTTTGTCTTTTTTCTGATCCTTTGTTCAGTTTCCCTGTAGTCCACCTATAAGTGAAACTATCTGATGCATTCATTGCTTTGATTGATTCACACATCTATTTTCCTTCTTTTCAAAGAATTTATTTATTTTAACTGAATAATGAAAGTGTTCTTAGTACATCATTCTGACCCTTCCTCTTTTCCCTCTCTCAGGACTGTTTCAGAGCAAGAGTGCAGTCTGGCTCCATGGATAAGGTCAATTCTTCAGTGGTGTCTGAGTTTGTGTTGCTGGGACTCTCTAGTTCTCAGGAACTCCAGCTTTTCTATTTTGTTTTCTTCTCTGTGTTATATGTGGTCATTGTCCTGGGAAACCTTCTCATTATCATCACAGTGTCTTCTGATAACAGCCTGCACTCCCCCATGTACTTCCTGCTGGGAAACCTCTCCTTTGTGGACATCTGTCAGGCTTCCTTTGCCACACCTAAGATGATTGCAGATTTTCTGAGTGAGCATAAAACAATCTCCTTTACTGGCTGCATTGCCCAGATTTTTTTCATTCACCTTTTTACCGGTGGGGAGATGGTGCTACTTGTCTCCATGGCCTACGACAGATACGTGGCCATCTGCAAACCCCTGCACTATGTGGTCATCATGAGCCAAAGGACGTGCACTATCCTAGTACTGATCTCCTGGGCTGTGGGCTTGGTGCACACATTAAGTCAGTTATCATTTACTGTGAATCTACCTTTTTGTGGCCCCAATGTCGTAGACAGCTTTTTTTGTGACCTTCCTCGAGTAACCAAACTTGCTTGCTTGGATTCTTACATCATTGAAATACTGATTGTCGTCAACAGTGGGATTCTTTCTCTAAGCACTTTCTCTGTCTTGGTGGCCTCTTACATCATCATTCTTATCACCGTTTGGTTTAAATCCTCTGCTGCAATGGCCAAGGCATTTTCAACGCTGGCTGCCCATATCGCTGTGGTGATATTATTCTTTGGACCTTGCATCTTCATCTATGTGTGGCCTTTTACCACATACCCTGTGGACAAAGTTCTTGCCATATTTTATACCGTTTTCACCCCTATTCTGAACCCCATGATCTATACACTAAGGAACAGGGATATGAAAGTTGCAATGAGAAAAATTTTGACCCATTACCTGCGGCCCAAGAAAATTTCTGAAATGCCACTAGTAATGAGGAATTCCCATTAGTAAAACACAGTTTCTTCAAATTCCTCGAATCAATTGTCTATAAAAATTTTGTTTTTATGGTACATCTCAACTGCAGTGAAAGTAATAAAGAAGATGATATAGAGAGTATTTAAGGGAGATTAATAAATTATTCTCCAGATAATGCCTAAACAGGAGATGTGAAAAATGTATCATTATTACTGATTCAGAAAATAAAATATGGAAGGACTGTATATGGATAGCAATGATGCATTCACTGTTTCAGCTACAGGTAAATACAAATATTATGGAAAAAGAGGAGTGCCGATTGATTAGGGTGAATAAATTTAGACCTTTTTTTATCTTATTAGTTTCCTAATTTACATGTCTGAAAATATATAAAGAGATGAATAGTATTTAGGAATATGACTTTGAACTTTCTGCTTTACTGATTTAAGATAATTGCATTGAGTACAGTAAAGATTCCTAATTTTGAAATTCCTCCCCCCAAACCATTTTTGCCTATCCCCTATTATTTTCCAATAACAATGTTTTAAAATATGAAATTACATATACTCAGGAGCTTGCATTTCAGAGCTTTCATTTAATGGATTTTCTCTGATCAGTTAACATAATTGCTGTTTCCTTTAAATTACAAATTGTAGAAGAGGGAGGAAAATTTTTTAAACTGAACTATTTCAACACTGTCATTTTACTCCTTGCATTTGGACCAAGCATAGAGTTCTTAGGGATAATGAATCAATGTTAAACATACATCCCAACTGGCAACCTGGACCCCACAGGACCCCTGGATCTCTACCTTAGACTCCAGAGACCATTAGGGGATTTATTAATGTTTATTAGAGTTTTTAAGTTTATTTTCCCAAATCCCTCAATTCATAAGAGGTATTAAATGAGACTAATGTAAACATTAGTCTCTCTTCTAGGCCAAGAATGAAAACGCTAGTTTTGCACTTCATGTGCCCTCTTATCTAGTCCATCTTTTCTGAATGCATCCGAATAGAGCCAACATCAATAAAAAGATTTTTTAAAAAAAAAAACCTTGGGAATTTCCTCTTTTCTCTCATCCCACCAATTTTTGCTCTCTCCATAGCATTTTTGTACTTCTGAAACCTGATGTTTTTGGCTCTTTTCTGCTCTCAAAATCTACCTTCCTATCAAGGGTAGCATAAAAGTAGCTTACACTTCAGTATAAGCCTAAACTATCATTTACCTCTTCCAGAAATGTGCATGTTTATTTTTTTCTGGTTTCAGAATACAATTCCATCAGTGTCAAGAGTGCAGTGTTAGCAGACTAGCTCTAGAACATCAACAGATTTTTTTTAAAAAATATTTTTTTATTGAATTACTGTTATTTTATATTCTTGTCTATTTTTTTTCACAATAAAGAATTTCTTCCCTCAGGTGTGGTCACATAGTTCTCCTACCACCAGATCACCCATAATCCTCAACCTTAGTCTGTCATACTCACCCCACTACTATCTCCTCCCTTCCACCTCTCCCTCCACCTCCCATCCTGGATGCTTCAGATCTGTGGTAGCTTTCAAGGGTTGGTTTTAAAGTGTGCCTTATCTGATCCTTTGTTTGATTTCTCTATATTCTACACATAAGTGAAACCATCAGATATTTATCTATCTCCTCTGACTGTTTCACTTAGCATAATCCCTTCTAGTTCCATCTATGTTGCTGCAAATTGCATAAGTTTATCATTTTTTGATGTGCTGGGTAGTATGCCATTTTGTGTGTGTGTGTGTGTGTGTGTGTGTGTATGTGTTTATGTATATATATATATACACCACATCTTAATTCACTCAGCTGTCCTGGAGCATTTAGGTTGTTTCCATATGTTGGCTATTGTGAATAGTGCTGCTATAAACATGGGAGTGCAGTTTTCCTTTCAAATTAGTGTTTTTGTGTTCTTTGGGTAGATACCTAGGAGTAGAATTGCTGAGTCACGTGGTAAGTCCATTTTTAGTCTTTTGAGGAACCTCCACTTCTTTCCATAGGGGTTGGACCAGTATACATTTCTACCTACAGTGTAAAAGAGTTCCTTTTTCTCCACATCCTAGCCAGGACTTGGTTTTATTTTTTTAATCATGGTTTTGATTTCCAGGTCCCTGATGATAAGTGATGATGAACATTTTTCCATATGCCTGTTGGCCATGTGCATGTCTTCTTTGGAGAAGTATCTCTATCAAGCTCTTCTGTCCATTTTTTAATTGGGCTGTTTTCTTTTTGTTGAGTTGCATGAACTATTCGTAGATCTTCAGTATCAGTCCCTTGTCAGATGTATGGTGTGCAAATATTTAGGAAGAAGAGATCTTACCAACACCCTCTGACTTCATACCATGCAAGCTGCTACTTCTTCATAGAATGAGGTCTGGGCATATGATTTTTCTTCTTGACTAAAGCACTCTGTACTACATTATTTTCTCTTGTCAGCCTAGATTACCAAAATACTAGGCAGGTAGGGTTTCATTAAAAAGCTTATTAATTTCATCTTTTTTTCAATGGTAAGATTTAATTACTCTAATATGAGATCTAGCCTTCATTCTAGGTGCTTTCTAAAAAGATTCCACTAAATCTAGTAAGCAGTGAGAATCAATGTGCTAAGAAAGTCAGAAATTACATAATTTGATTCTTAGATTCATTTTGTTTTGAAAATATTTGTGAATATCTTGTTATATTGATTACTACAGACATTTATTTCATTCAGATAAATCAAATTATATACACAATTTAAAAATTGTCCTTTTTAGATAAACACATGCAATTTGCAGCAACATGGATGGCGCTGGAAGGGATCATGCTCAGCGAAATAAGCCAAAAAGAAAAAGAAAAATACCGGATGGTCTCACTCATAGCAGGAATCTAGAAAACTTAAATAAGGGACCAGGAAAACGAATAACTATAAGAAAGTGAAAATCAAAATCAACAAAAACTATGAACCAGAGACACTTTTAGGGGGTGGGGGAGGGGAGGGATTGGGGTCAGAATGGGGGGGCTGCAATTGTATGGGGAATACAACAGTAAAATTTATTATTTAAAAAAAAATAAATAAATAAATAAATAAATTTAAAAAAAAATAAAAAAAATAAAAATTGTCCTTTTTACTTAAAAATTTACATAAAAACAATATGAGCAAACATTGTGCAAGTAATTGAAATTTTGTTCATTGTACATTTTAATAGGACAGTGGCTGGTTTTTAGTTTGAAAACAATGACATTTTAGAGTCATCTTTGACATGGAAACATACATGCTATCATATTGAATTAATCTTAATTTTTTATATCGCTATAATACATGAAAGATAATTAAGAAATAACTGTCTGAACTAAGTTAATAGTTACAAAAGAAGAAATGTTTGGGTGAAAGAACTCCAAATTCTTTGAATTTTTTACATGGTATCACATAGCTTTCAAACAAATTATCCTTACAAGGTTTCATGAAAAGATAAAGTGCTATTTATATTTTCATTATATTCATCCAAAGAAGGTCTGGAGAGCCAGCAGGTGTTTTTCTAGTAGAGAAAAACATACTTTATTCTCAATAATACATAATCTCTGAACAAGCTGGGCATTCAAGTTTCTACATTTAAATGCTGACAAAGTTGGTTTACATTCTTAGCAGCAGATACAGTTTCAGAGCTGTTAGAATTTCTAACCAAAGCATGCCACAAAAAAGAGCAATGATCACAATGATTGTGGAGTTTCCTTTCATCACAAGAGTAGAAAGAGAAGATATTGCAGAAAATAAAGTAATTCCTTTAATAAATAGAATCATATTTCCCCCCTTGACAAAGAAGCTATATCAGTCATTAATTTGTTGATTTTTCATATCAGATCTACCCTTTGTTGGCTGGCTTTGTGATACCAGACTCAAACTTTTCTCTTTTGTCCTGAAAGGATGCTGGATGAACATTACAGAAGGAAAGGCTTCTCTTTCTGCTTACAATGTGCTTTTCTTGCTCTGAAAGTATAGCTTCCAGGAGGTTCTGATGAGGCCACTCAGTGGACTCACCTGCCAGCAAGTCCACTGCCAGTCTGGGCATAAATTCATTGTTCCCCTTTCTCAGCCCTCCATTTGTGGCCCACCCCTAACCCAATGCAACCTAGAGAACTTCTCATCCAGGGGTCCTCATTCATACTCTCTCCTAAGAGTCTGAAACTTGGGGAGGGAATCCATTTTTCAAGTTTATTCCTTTCTTGGCTTCTTTCCATCAGTTCTATGGTATTATTTAGAGTTTTAGTTTTTATCTCCTCTTAGTAATTAATTCTTTTTACCAGTTATAATTCAGATAAGAAGTGAGCATTAGGATTACACCCAACTTGCTTGAGTTGGAGAACTCTAAGATGCAAAATACCAATTGAACCAACAGTGAATTTGTAATTCTGTATTATTAATAACAAATACTATATCCAGTGGAGAAGGAATAGAAGACTGGCCCCTTGCTATATAATTCCCATTGACACATTTGTGAGTTTTGTGCTCACTGCCCCAGGAATTCTAGGCTGTCCTGCAATCTTACATTTATTCTATTGGTGGCATATAGAATCTCTTGATTCTATGGCTTGAGATACAGTTCAGTTTTGGAATTTCTCAGCCAAATTCCCTTAAACTATTGTTTTAATTTTGCTCTCTTTTTACTCTGAGTCTTAATATATATTTATTAACCTCTTCATTGTGTTCATGTCTCAACTTCATGACTTGCTTTTCTTTGCCATCTCTACCCATTTAACTTACAATAAAAAACTTGTTGTAAAAATGTCTTTATGCTTGTTTGCATTTCTTTAAACAATAACACACAAATTTAAACTTCAGCATTTTACATCTGTTTTCCTTTTTGAATTAAGACTATTGTGTCTTTCTATTTTCTATTTTTAAAATATGATATGTATATTTATAAATAGACTTTGATTGACAATAAATAAACAAATGTGTCTTCCACATCCTGTCCAATTATTCTGAAGCTTTTCAAATCTAAATGGTAAAGAGTTATCATCACTGTTGCTGAGACACT